TTATGTTCAGGCTGCTCCAACAACAAGTGTACAGGCCCCAAACCACACCAGTATGATGGGTTGTGTCCAGCCAGTCTGTTACTGGCAGGCAGAAGAGTGTGAGCGGAACAACTGCTCCACCAGGTAAGACCCAGGAAACGGTTCTGCGGTTCAGCTTTATCGCCATCATAAGGAGAGAAAACCATGTTTGCACCCTCTTAAACATTGGTGTCAAACTATTTATTGAGTGAGTGGTTCTTTATAGCGTCCATTGCAGTGAGAGTAATATTTTGTATTACTTCAGTCAGGGACCATGAAAAGGGTCCTTTAAGCAGAGGAACTCTTTATACACCCCATGGGGTAACTCCTTGTATTTCCTGGGAGACTGTGCACCTGTTTCTGCTGTTGCTGCATGGGGATAATGTCATGACTTGTTCATTTATTGACTGTTTCGTTCGACTCCATTTTTATGTTTATTTTTGTTTATTTTGCAGTTCCTGAGTGTTAGAAGCATTGAACTTTATGAAAGAAAACACATATTTTAAAATGTGGTTTAAGAGTGTAGATGTTCTCTTATTTAGAAAGGGTTAGTTCATAAAAAAGTTATATATTTTTCAACTGCTAAAAAAGTACACAAACCCAATTACCGTGCTTAAGTATAATTTTGGGGCACTTAACATTAAGGGTTCTATTTCTTTCTGCTCTACACCCATTCCGCTATATTTGCAGATTCATATTGTGTTGAGTATATTAATAATGCTGACTACTTTAAATAATTTTAGTATAATTACTGATAACATTTAGTAGTACATTTAATGTTAGTTCGGATCATTTTTTAGTACATGAAAGATTCTTTGTTATATTGGAGTATTTTTTGCATTGTGGCATTTATACGTTTAACACCTAAAGAGTTATCCAGCTGTACTTATAGTTGTAATTGTATCTTTTAATATTGGCTTACTGCAACTTACTCAATTCAATTGAAGTAAAAGACTTTCATAATATTGAAATTACATTTACAAATGTCAACTTTCTGAAAACACAGTATTTGTTTATAGAAAATTGCTCTAGAAAAATAGGAGTTTGATTTGGACTGTTCATTTGTTTTAAAAGCCAATTTTAGCCAAAAAGTTATGTTTAGTCTTGGTTGAAGTAGGATAAGCAGTGTAACAATCCAAATGATAAATGCTCAAACGTAATAAAATGGACAAACTGACTCAATGGCGTCACCAAACATAAAAGGTAGCTAACATTAGCTACCGTAAGTGAGCATATATATATATATATATAATGATGTATATAAGCATGCCCCATTGGATGATATTGAGGAAGGGTGAGTTTTATACATTAGTGTGTAAGAAAGTGTTTATTAAAACAGTTTCGTCCATCTGTTTTAATGAACACTTTCAATTTCCTTAAAAAAACAACCTGAAAACGTTGAAAAAGAAAAGTATAATAAACCACACATGAAAACATACAATTGTATTTGTTGGTTTTCAGCGTGAGAAAACTGACGCTCTTTTAATTACACTGCCACCTACTGCTTATCTTGACGAACAACTAATAACAATCGTAAAGCGTAGTGGATAGAAAAAGCAGTAATTGGCATTACCTTTCGCTGATTTTTCTCTAAAATGTGGTGAAAATGTGCAACATTAGGATGAAAACCAGCTATTGTCTTTTCCAAACACGTAATTCCTACTGGGTGCTATTATTTTGTCGTTATTGTATTGTTGTTTATATTCAATGTAGGCCTAATTATGGCCTTGAGTCGGTAAAAATCTGGATCTGAATCCTCAAAGGTGAATTTTCATGCATAAAACCCATGATTGCATAGCTGCAGAGGTAAATGAGAGAATTCATGATGATTTGGTTGAACTAACCCTTTAACAAGACCCTTGTGAGCGTCACAGCAAAGAGCCCCCAACCCCGGAGGAAACAGTTATCTGAGCGGCGGTCCACGTGCATGGTGGGGATAATGCTGCTTACGATTCCAGCAGTGATGGCCCCGCACTGCGAGGCAGGAGAAGCTGGGGCCGTCAGGGATTTGTCAGAGGCCTGTTATTACATCTCTAGTCACATAAAATATGGCTGCCTCTCCAGAGATCCCACCGCTAGATAAATCCCTCCAACCAGACGAGCCCTGGCGATGAAACCATCCAATGGCGTGCCTCAGCCAGTGACCTCTGGTAATGACGTGTGATTTATACAGTACATGTTTTAAACCACGAGACACATCTCTCCCTCTGTATCTATATCGGGTGTCATGTGAGATAACTGGCAGGCCTTTGGGAGCGGGGAGACATGACACCCCATCTTTGGGGTCTCACAAAATGGCTACAATGTGGATAGTTTCCCCTGCAGCTGTCTAATCGCAGGCTAAGCCTTGCAGTGAATGCTATGTCTCCTACTGCACCAGGTCAACAACACATTGCAGGCTGCCACTTTAAGCTAACTGACCGCAGTGTGGAAGGCCTAAATCAACACCTGGTTGGGAAGGAAAAGAGTACTTGTGTTCTTGGAAATGTGTGGCACTGACAAAACTGGAGCGTTGACTTTAATTAAATGTATTATGTCAACAGATTTCACATAACTGAATTAGGTTAGTTGAAAGCAATAATAAGTTTAAATCAAAAGGTATTAGGTTCAACTTAATATTATTGCTTTCAACTAACCTAATATGTGAAATGTGTTGACATAATTAATATTAATAATTGACATTAAAGTCAACGTTTCAGTTGTTTCAGTGCTTGGCTGTTGTAAAGAAATACACTCTAACACTTGATTATGATTAACCAGAGGGGGTTATTCCAAATCCATTCTTAAAAAGGCCACAACAGCTTCCAAAGAAAAGCAGAAAATGAAGCAGGCTATGGGTCATTTTCCAGACAGTCAGTGCCCCCGTCAGTGGACGTCCCCTGCACAGTCTAGTAGCTTATGAGATTAAGTTGTGTGGCTAAAGGAGAGCTGAGAGGCAGGCCGTGTCGTTGACCTTGGCAAGCCAGACCCAAAGATGAGGACACTACAAATATCTGTCTTTAATAAACAGGCGCCAAACACAGCTCAGCGGGCTGGAAACACACACATTTCATGACAAATAAATGGTTACATTTTATCATTTGTGTTCACACATTAGATCACCTTGTGTGCCATTTAATTATTTTATTTATTTTGGTTATTTGCCAATTCATAATATCCTATTATAATGCTCTTTTCTTTGATATTTCTATTTGCTGTAATGTTTTATGTGTGAGAGGAAACACATTGCCTGTTTGTAATTGTTTTAATACTAAGTGGGTTTTTTATCATTACATTTTTTATTCATGTAGCCTTATTTATTTATAAATGCCTGTGTGCCTTACTTAATGTCTATTTTAAAAAGTACATGAATGAATCAAAAAGGCTTATTACATTCATTTTTTTCAGTTGTATAACAACTTTTTCTTCTGTTCTTTTTTTGTGATAGTAATTAGAAAGCTATAAAAAAAAAAATCGTGGCAAATGTTTGAAATTATATTGGTTATATTTCGCAACAACCAGAAAACAGTTACTACTGAAATCAGACCAGCCACCCCCCCCCCCCAGCAGCAGCAGCAGCTATAAACTGCCTGGCTGCCATTTCTTTTTTTCCACTTCATAACCTGAAAGTTCAACTGGACACATAAACTACAGAAAACCATTTGCTAACTGACAGCCAAAGATATTTAATTTTTTTCCGTATTGAATAACGAAATAATATTATTTTACTTTTTTTTTTATTAAGATGTCATATGTTGTTTTAACAAAAAGGGAAAAGTTGATAATAGATCAAAAATGAAATGTCTAACTATTTTCTGTTGTGGCAGTCCTATGGACAGAACTTTTTAAATACACTCGTTTAATGTTTTAATAAAATGGAAAAATAATATAGGAAACTATTTTAAATAAGGCTGAATATAATTATAAAATACGACCACGTTATTAATTGTATACCCTCTCTCTTATCATCATCTTCATCATCCTCACTGTTTTATTTTCTGTACACATCGATGATGTAAAACTAATCATTGCAATATGTGCTTCAAACCACCTGAACACATTCATCAAAAATAAATATATAAAATATTCTAAAAATAACAGCGTTATTATATCAGCATCGACGAAACAAAAATAACTCTTCAAATAATAATAATAAATCGCTACACTTTGTTTTTAAAATGTCCCTCTCCCGCAGTAAAATCCCGGACAACTTCAACAATGTAAAGATTAAATAAACTTATTTCTTCCGTTGGATAAGCGCCTGTATTTTTATTTTTATTTGGAAAAGGCATCATATTTTGTGCAGCTGCGTAAATTCGTTTTCCTATGCAAATAGCCTGTCGCCAATCCTTCAGCCCGGCACGAAAATAAACTCATCATGTCAAACCTGCAGGACGCGAGGAAATTTGAGCGCAGATGAAATATTTCTCGGATGATATAAAAAGGAGCCCTTTTGCCTGAGTTATGGCCCGGGTTTTGGCGTTGCTGAGAGGGATGCATGCTGCTCCTTCCCTCCCGCCCCGGAGGAGGTATCATCAGAGCTGATATATGGCCCAGCTCTACATTACCTTTACAAAACAAAGGATCATCCACGCTTTGGGTCGAGGAAAAAATCCTTCTGACTATATCTGCTACAACTACACCTGAGTCGACTTGTCTTTTATGGCAACATCCAGATAATCCAAATACTTTCAGACTGAAAGCCTAGAAACTCCTGGACTAAAACCTAACTTTTACGCATAAATATATAGGATTGCAATCTCTCCCTCAATCTTTCTCTCTCCCTCCCTCTCTCTCTGCTTCTCCTCATTTACCCCACATACCTATTCTGGTGTCTCACCACACGACTAAATTAGACCAAAGATGATAAGAGCACAAAGCACTATAATAATTCCGCCGGGCTCCTCCTCCTTCTAGCCATGCGTCCTAATTAATGGGACACCCCCAGTCGCAAAAAGCCCCGCACTGGACTGCAACATAGTCAAAGAGTGAGAGGGAAGAGGGCGAAAGTGCCACTGGAGATAATTGATTACCTACCAATCAATGATAACTTGTTAGTAATCGTCAACTCTTTGGACCTCGCCATTTTCAGGGAGGCATCTCACTCCTGCGGACTTGCTGCTCCCGAGGATCGACACTTTGAAGACATCCCATTCTGGAATAAGATTTTTTTTCTTCATTCTCCTCCGAGTCTTTTGTTTTTTTTCCCCCACCTCCCAACTGTTATGTGACTTTTTCCCCTTCGATAGTCTCGCTCGTTTTTAAACCCGCTTGATTATTTCTTTTTTCAACGAAGTCCTTTTTACAACCAATGATGACATCCAAAGAAGTGGCCAAATGTGATGCAGTGGAGAACAGGAGGCGAAGTCCGCTGGACCACTTGCCGCCTCCTGCCAACTCCAACAAGCCGCTGACCCCCTTCAGCATCGAGGACATCCTGAACAAGCCCTCTGTGAAACGAAGTTACACCATTTGCGGCACAGCTCATCTCATTTCGTCCTCTGAGAAGCACCGTCCGTCCAGCATCCCTCTGTCCAGCCGGGCTCTGCTCAACCAGACCTCCCCCCTCTGCGCGCTGGAGGAGCTGGCCAGCAAGACCTTCAAAGGGCTGGAAGTCAGCGTTTTACAGGCTGCAGAAGGTAAATCTCGATCCCTAAAAAATACAGTCGAAAAACACCTTTTTAGAATGTCATAATGGGCGTTTCTCTGCACGTGAATTTCTTATTGTATGGCCTGCACAAGATATAAAATAACCATTTAAATACACACCTGTTTTGCAGCATGTCATGTAATAAAAAGAACAGAAATAATATTTGAACATATTTCTCTTTAACAAATATATTATCGGAAAAAAAAGGCGTGTTCATTTTCTGGGCTGCATGGAATAAATCGACACTGCTTTTCTTTAATATTAAGGTCCCGTGTGTCTAGTGAACACTATTTCCCAGTGGGGTCTGTGTAATATCCTTATAATCACCCCTTCCCACAAGAGACAAGGGATTTAGTCTACTGTTTCTCGTAGGATCACTTTCATTGCTATTTTTGCGTTAGGTTGACTTTTACGCGCACGCTGCTGCAGCGGTGCAGAGGAAGCTCTGCGCGCTGCACCTGCAGGATTCACATTCTCACGCGGCCTCTCTCTCTCTCACACAGGCCGGGACGGGATGACTCTGTTCGGAACGAGAAGCACCCCGAAGAAGCGCCGGAAGTCTCGGACGGCGTTCACCAATCACCAAATCTATGAGCTGGAGAAGCGCTTCCTGTACCAGAAGTACCTGAGCCCGGCCGACCGGGACCAGATCGCGCAGCAGCTGGGCCTGACGAACGCGCAAGTCATCACGTGGTTTCAGAACCGCAGGGCCAAGCTAAAACGGGACCTGGAGGAGATGAAGGCCGACGTGGAGTCGGCAAAGGCCACCGGCAATGTCCCTTTGGAAAAGCTCGCCAAGCTGGCGGACCTTGAGAAATGCGCCAACGGCACGCTGGGGCACCCGCGACCAAATTCCCCCGCGCGGGTCGGCCAGCAGGAGCTCGAGCTCGCTCGGAAACTGCGGAACTCGCCGCTGTCTCCGTTTTCAGACCACACAACTAGTAAAGAGTGCTCAGAGGACGAGGACGTGGAGATTGATGTGGATGACTGATGGCACAGCGTGGGGCTGGAAGGTCGAGAAACACAAAAAGACGATGAAAAATCCTCCGGAGGACTTGTAACTTACTGCTTATATTGTATACCATATCTCAGAACATGTACCAAAATGTAATGACTTTTATATCGACACAGATAGACCTATTCATAGTGAAGCATGAACACAACACGAAATATGCAGTGGTATTTTACTATGTATTCATTAGCAACCTCTTTCTTCTTGCAAGCAAAGCAATATGGTCTAAAAGTAACTTGTAATTGTTTTACACTATAGGCCAACACACACACGCACACACACACACACACACACACACACACACACACACACACAGAACACACACACACACACACACACACACACACACACACACACACCTGTTTCCATCGCTTTTCAAGGTCTATACCCTCACACACCACAATGAAAGTGCTCCAGTTTTTCATATTGTTTGCATGGAAATGCATGATTTGATTTGTGATCATTATATATTTATTTTTACTTTATTATTTTCATTTTTTATTTAATAGTTGCTGGTGTTTTTCTGTGAGCCAAATCGCCATTGTGTCACTTTGTCACTGCCGGCTCCTCCTCATCATCATCTGACCCCCCCCCCCCCCCCCCCCTTTGACTTCAGCTCATGTTTGGCGTCCCGATGCTGCTGTGCATGATGATAAAGATGATGAAGATGATGATCGGAAAACCCGGACATTTGTGCGATTTATGGGAATGCTCACGCGACGGCGAGGAAGAAAAATGAATATTGCGGTGATTTTGAAAAGCTATAGGCTACTTTTTAGATTTATTGTTTGGATACAATAGATTTACAGTTATAAATATTTGTTATGTTTTGTACACCTGTAAGTGCCTTTCTAAAATCAGGACATCATTTGAAAAACCAATGCACAGACTGTAATGTATATAGGCTACTATGGGAATAAAATGGCTTTTCTGAATATATCTTTTATGTTGCAATTCTTGAATTAATATCAAGCTTTTTTATTATGAATATAATAGCTTTTTTTTCTTTTTAGTGAGGACAAAAACAATCATTTTAGAAACACGCTCTCCTTGCCAGAAATGGGCGTGTTAGCCTATCAAAGCGGCCTGTTCAGAGTTATTATTCTGAACTATTTTGTCCCTTTGTGTCCTTTTCTACTAAGATGCTCTAAACATTTTGTGGCCCGGAATCTCACATCTCCTTTCACACCCTAAATGCGTATCGTGGCTTCTTGACCCTTAGACGTGTTTCTCCATTCGTGGCAAAAATTTATGTGAGAAACACAAATCTGGTGCCGGGGGAAAAAAAAGACGAGGATGCCACAAAAACACAAAGTTTTGGGCCAGTTTCTCTCGGGCCTTTTATAGACCTTTTTTGTTCTGCGGGACTGGGCCGTAATTTTGAGCGTAAAGCATGAAAAGTGGGGACAAATGAGCAGCGTTCCCTGGTGGGACGAGCCACAAAGGAGCAGGGCCGGTCCCCCGCAGGCAGCAATACTGAGACAAGTGTGTCCCACCGCACAAAAAGGACGCAAACGTTTGGAGGCCATATGGTTTTCGAAATTTCCTCACAAATTCAGACAATTTGATGGATTGAGTTAACCCTCCTTTTAAACAGTTTAACTGGGCGCGAACAAAGGCCATAATGCCTACATAGACTCTCCCTTCATGAGGGCATCTGCGGCTATTAATGTCTAGCCCTTTTCTTTGCCTGGCGTTTTGAACAAGTCAATGAATTACAATGAAACTGCCCCTTTTCTGTGAGCCGCTTGTCTCTCACCGCTTTTTAGCTCTGGAAGAATATGTTTGACTTCTGTCCAAGAAACGTTTTCTAAACAAGAAATGGATTTTGTTGGAAGGGGTTTTAATGTTAAGTAGGCAGCCATAAAGAGTTGAGACTGTGACATTTATGCCAAAGTCTGGTTAGGGGACTCCTTTGTTTGTTTTCTTCTCATCTCTCTTTTTTTCTTCTTTATTTCTTTTGTCTTTAAAGGAGTTTAATGAAGCTGAAAACATGGTGATGTGAGAAAGAGTGGAGCTCAAAAGGCTTTTCTCCCCTTTAACTCTCTTTGTTCAAAGAAATGATAAGTAGGCCTGTCTTCTTGTGACTTGTTTATAGTGTTTGCTTTTTTTTAAACTTTAAATTCAGGACAACCTGAATACGTTTATAGACCAGTAAGTACTTGAAGCCTACCTAAAGGCAAATTAGTCCTACAGTAAAAAAGCCACATTTAATAAATGGTTTATAACATTATAATGACATTTTAGGCTAAAATTAGTTTTTTTTAGGTAGTGTAATTAATGTATTTTTTAACAACCATACACCCACCCATAATGGAGGCTGCTGTTGAAAATAAAGGGAACAAAGTTTTTTTTAAAAGGTTTACATATAAATATTGTCATAAGAGAATTTATAATTATGAGTAAAAAACTGCCTTTTAATTTACACAGTAAATCTTGATACTGCATCATGTTATAGCTTTATTAAGTTTAATACTGCTCAGAAATGCTAAATAGGTGTGTGAAGTGTTTCCTTTAATTCACATTTATTATAATATTGTTTAGTTAATCGAAGTGACACTTTTCTAAGGAAAAAAAAATTCAATTCAATTATTTTGTAAATTGACTTGCAAATATGAACAAGTCGATTTAAAACTCATTCCTAAAAACTAATCCTTTCTGTATATCACAACACAGTGTGTGTGTGTGTGTGTGTGTGTGTGTGTGTGTGTGTGTGTGTGTGTGTGTGTGTGTGTATATGTGCTGCAGCCTATTCTGAATCAAGCATATTTATGAAGGGAGAGAGTGTTAAGGCAGGCTAAGTTTATGGATTTCACTTGCTTATTTTATGAGGCCTTGTCAGGCGGTCCCGGCGATAAGTAATACTACAGTCTGTGGGACCACTTCGTGGTAATTAATCTGGAGGTCTTAAGTGTATTTCAGTATTTCACTCCAAGATGGAAAAAATCACTACTTCAATCGTCCGGAAAATTGAAGTTTGATGCATGAGTCCCTACTGAAACAATAGTACAGCCCTCTCTCTCTTCATCCCTTCCCCTCCCCTTTTTCACTCCCTCCCTCTCGATTCTTCTCTCTATATTTTATGATTATTTGCACCTTGTGGAAAAACAGTCTCAGGTGCAAATGAATATTTCAAACACTGGTCGAGTGACAGGCTTTCAAATCTCCAGTTTGTCCTCTCAAAAGAATAACAATCAGCATCCATCAACATATATTTATTATTGTATTATCATAATTATTCTTATTGAATATGTATATAAAAAAAGGGAGGATCTGTAAATGACTTTATATTTGCCTGGATAGCCTGAATTGTAGAGTTTTAATCATAGCCTTCCTGTGGAGCCAGTTAATACTTCAAACTTCAATTTTACGGGCGATTGAACTAAGCATGTTCCTGACAGAATTGATGTATGTATTAATTTCCTTTAACTGTTGATTAATTAGGCTGCGCTGAAGGCTCAAATGGAACAGTTTGCTCGGAAATTTACATATTAATCAAATTCTAGTTGATCATTCAAATAATCCAGGCTATGTGAATTTAAGAGGATGTAGGTTGAAAACATATAGCAGGGGAAATCAGTAAATATATTTTCTGTCCTACTGCTGCTACTGCTGCTGCTGCACTGCACTGTATTAACACCAAGCAGTCAGAGAGTCAGCCTCACCATTTGGACCAAATTGTTTATCCAGTTTTGCTGCAACCAAGTTCAACAAGCAACAGCAAACCTTTGTGCTTGTTTGTCTTATGCACATGAGAGAGGAAGAGATGCAGATTTCTGTATTCTCATTTAGTTTAAAAAAAGGCCGTTAAATTACTACTACTACAAATGACTACAAACCTCTTGATTTGGAAGTTCAGTTGCATCAATGTTATAGTCGTCGTGGCAGACAGCATATCACTTATCAATAAATACTACAGATATACAAAAAAATCAATGGCCTTATAAATGTTAAAACAGTTTTTAATTAAACATTGTGAGACATTAAAGGTAAACAAAGTCTGCAGTTAGATATTCATTATTTATGACCACTGTGTCTAAAGAATACATTATTTAAGTGTTTCTAAAGAATTCTTGAAATATGTTTTTGCATTGTAAAAAAGGTCAAAACTGCACCAGCATTTTGAGCTATGGGTTTAACTTAAAAATGTAAAACAAATGCATGGCAGCACATACAATATTTCAGATAAATATAACATGTACTTAAAATAAACGTTTCAAAATATATGTTTAATTTCTTTGTGGCAAATAAAACATCAACAGTTGATTGAATAATAAAAGTGAAATGCATCAATCCCTAATTGAAGTCATCTGAAAGCTCACCCAATCCTGATGGTTTCATTATTTGAACCACGAGTGAGACCAAAATATACTCAAATGGTGGAATTACATTCTTAATAAAAACTATAGTTAAAAAAGGATACAGAAAGGAAGTGAAAAACCAAAAAGGAACTGCAGATGTGAACAGGTTTAAACTCCAGTCAGCTGCTCAGCCACAGAGGAGAGAGAGGAGCAGAGACACCTGCTGGTGTTCACAGGGCAGTGAACGCACCACACTGAGCACTTAACCAGCCATGCTGTGTGTGTATTTTAAAAACATGAAGTATATTTCAATAGCATGTACATTTATATCACTGCAAACTAAGTTACACCGAGTTGTGGTTATGATATGTTTTAGTTTTCCTTTCTGTCTCTCTAAATCTGAAGGACAGAAACAGATTAGAACCCTTTTTAATGCTAAATAGTTTCTTACCGCTTTTATTGTCTTTATATGTTTGATGTTTTTAGTATATGTTGATCTTAGACTTTGCCATTACTATTGAATCTAAGCATGACTTCGTATTTTCTATAAAATTGTCTCTTCCTGCACTGTCAAAATAGATCACGGGCCGCATTTAGCCCCCGGGCCGTAGTTTGGACATCCCTGTTGTATGGCGTCAGTTTCCGGACTACTGTATAATAACCCCAACAAAAGGAAGTGTAATGACACAGGGCCGGCCCTAGACTTTTGGGGGCCCTAAGCGAGCTTTGGCTTGGGGGCCCCACTCACTCTAGCGCGTTAGCCCTACACACAACACGGAACCAATTTTAGTCTTATGATGTTAGCATAAGCACAGATATTGTATAAATAAGCATGTAAACACAGTGGACCTAACATCCACATCCTTTAGGGGGGTCCTCACCTCCTCTAAGGGGGTCCTCACCTCCTCTAGGGGGGTCCGGGGGGAGCAAGATTTGTTGTAAGATATTGAAGTTAAAAGCATCAATCTGGTGCACTTTGAGAGCAAAATTAAGAGATCTATGGATACATCTCTCAACACCCATATGAAACAGAACTGTAAACAGATTTTTCTTTATGGATATTTTACAAATCACTTAAACTGTATTCTTGTTTTGTCATAAAGTATTTCATAACTGTTTTTCATTTATTCTCTCTGGCTGTCCATCTCATAATGTTCACATAGAAACTAGCTGTCAATAGGAATATCCATCCATCCATCCATCTTCTTCCGCTTATCCGTGGTCGGGTCGCGGGGGTAGCAGTTCCAGCAGAGAGCCCCAAACTTTCTTTTCCCTGGCGACATCAACCAGCTCTGACTGGGGGATCCCAAGGCGCTCCCAGGCCAGCGAAGAGATATAATCCCTCCACCTGGTCCTAGGTCTACCCCTTGGTCTCTTCCCAGCTGGACGTGCCTGGAACACCTCCCTAGGGAGGCGCCCAGGTGGCATCCTAACTAGGTGCCCGAACCACCTCAACTGGCTCCTTTCGACGCGAAGGAGGAGCGGCTCAACTCCGAGTCCCTCCCTGATGACCGAACTTCTCACCTTATCCCTAAGGGAGACACCAGCCACCCTGCGGAGAAAACCCATCTCGGCCGCTTGTATCCGCGATCTCGTTCTTTCGGTCATGACCCATCCTTCATGACCATAGGTGA